CTTGCCAAATGCTTGGTTACCCATCAGCTTGAGGTGTGCCCATGGGGCCGCAGTCTGTGCCATCACTGGCTAAGCTTGTTTTTGCTTATGCTTGTGCCAACACTAATCAGAAAAATGTCTGCTTAGTGGAACCAATCATGCACACCTGATCAACCCACAATGCCGCGGCCGAATCGGGATCTACAAAAAATCAAAATCCAGCATCGACCGCCCACCCTTGCAGTCCACCCAGTAAGGAAATCATTTTAAGGGAGCAGTCGGGCAGCTGACAGAATTCAACCGTAGCGACGTCTGCAACACCGGCAGCTTCTTAAGCTTTGTTAAGAACTTCCAGCTCTTAAAAAATATTCTGCGTACCACATCGAGGATGCTTTCCCTAGAAAGCCTATTCCAAGTGCGAATCGGATGTAGGTTGGACCCAACATCATGCCGGCAGGGTGCCTTGTCCCCAAAAAACGGAGGAAGCTCTCCAGGACCTGCATCAGCACAGCCACTGCATGTAAATACGACCTCCCCCCCTGTGAAGCGAGTTCTGTAGCTGGGCTGTCAAAGCCCAAGGCCTACACCAGCATCACAGGCCTGATCTGGCCCACGGTGGCGGAGGTAATCCAGGACCTCCAGGCTTTCTCTGTGCCAAAACTGAAGCCGTCAAAGAAAAATGCCAAGGCTGGAAAGAAGTCCAACAAAATGAGCAGGAAGAGGGCTTGCAAGCCTGGTAATATCAGGAGATCAGGTTCCGAAGGGTGCTACACTACACAGGCATGCCCAAAACTTGACCCTGTGCATGCATCCAGCTAACCCGAAAGTGCCTGGTCTGGACATCGGTGATACAAAGCTGAAGCAATGTGGCAGAAGTACCCGGCCAGCACCTGTCTGACTCAAGTTCAGAATGAGGATCATGGGGCTGGAATTAGCAGCAAAGTTCATGATCCGCGAAGCAGGCTGTATATGGCCGGCACCGTCCAGCTTGATGCTCGTGGATCCAGCTGGGCATCAAGTAGAAAGTTCCACCTAGAAGCAAAAGCGGGAGTTCACACTGCCGTCTCTTGAGGCGACTTAGTGCAAGCCATTGCATAAAGCTTGACCACGGCATGCCGGATGGGCAGTGCTCTGTCGGCTCACGCGGGAGGGTTGAGTCGGCTTGCAAGCCGATGAGACACTCCTGAGGCGCCCACAAGATCTCAAGAGGATTGGGAGATGTGCCGTTCACCTCAGGCATCTGCTCCCAAAGGGAGCTGCAACAAGTGCCCTAAGTGAAAGGAGGGCATCTGACGTAGTCTGCCTTGCGGGCACCATAATGGCAAAAAGCCCAGAGCCGCAAAAAAATACTAGTTCTAAAGGACACCTCAAGTCATGACCAAAATCAATCTTGACCGCAATCTCATCCTACACCAGCCTCACAGATCTGCTATAAGCCGTGCACTCTTCTCACATCTAAACCAATGACAGCAGTGCAAGAAGCCCGGACACTTCACAACGAGTGTCCCACGAAAAAGGCCTGGGCCAGCCGCAGCTTGCAGGGCTCATCCTGGGTGCCCTTCCAGCGAGCTTTTGTGAAAAAGCGTGGAGTGGATTGCAAAGTCACATTCTGCCGCTTCGGGTTCCACTGGTCTGGGAAGCAAGCACAAGGGAAGATAAGTCTACACCACTCAATTCAGAGAAGGCATGAAAGCAGGTCAACTTAGGCAAAGATTCCGTTGGTGATCCAGAACACCCCACATCCAAAGCCCATCAAGATGCCAAGACCTCAACAGCCTACTCTTACTTTAAAACTGCAGTTCCAAGGACTCCGTAGGTGGGAGCGTTGGATTCAAGCTGCGCCAGCAAAGGCGTAGCAAACGTGTCTTTCAAAACAATTGGCTGGAAATGCCTCTGCACCCGGGCTGCATAGTGACAGCAGCTCGGCTGCCTCAAGCTGTGTAGCTGCAAACTCAGGCCCCCAAACCGCACGCGCACAACCCTTCCTCGCCGATGCTCCGGCAGGATAGAATCAAATGCTAGCTCCAGTTGGTTTCTGGAAGCCAGGGTCCGCTCTGTATGGCTGCGGATGCGTGCTTTCTCCGGCGTCACACCTGGCAACAGGGGGTGGCAGCTCTGAGCCAAACCGAGCTGAGCCAAAACGAAGATGAAGCAAACATGAACGAGACAAATTTGTGATGCCTTCCGATGGCGGCCGTGTGGCGTACTCCACCTCGGCCAATCTCGACAGGCTCACACCGCCACCAGCCATACAGAAATTCTGCCGGTGCTGCGATTTGCATGCTCAGAGATAGTGTGTGCAAGCGCATAGTATGAGCAAAGCTTGCCATGAGGCCCACGCCAAAGTACAAACGTTGTCCGGTGAACATATTCGGTCAATGAGCGTTGCGCTTCCCCTCCGATACTCCTCCAAGCAAGTGCTGATGTGAGCAAGCAAGCTGCTACGCCAGTCCGAGTGTATGCGAGCATTATCTAGACCATGAAGGAGCCACCAAACAAAAGCAAGCAATAGAACGATGGCTGCGTTCCATTTGCAGGAACACCCCGGTGGTGTGAACCTTCTCTTCGTGTTTACCCATGTGGCCAATGCTCGGCCATTAGTTCAGAAGGCCATTTTCCCTTGCAAGGCCTGCAACAGCGACTCACCTTGATCCAGCAGCTCCTCTAAAGTGCCGACTTCCTTCAAAGCAGGGAACGAGGCCCGCAGCAGAAGCTTGGGGGCGAGGCAAAATGATTACAATGAATCAGCGCAAGCCAAAGCTGACCGTGGAAACTGAGGGTAGCCAGTGCTTTCCAAGACAAATGCACCATGGAAGTGGCAATCCTGGATTGCGTCTGACATTCTATGGAGACATGGCCAATCCTGACGCGTGCGCATCCAAAGTGCATCCAGGTTTCAAAGTTGACCGGGGATGTGAGGGGCTCGTTCATATGCATGTTTGTCGGCGAGGAAATTTGAGCAGGAAACGCATTTGCTTTCCCACTGGCCTCCACCTCCCTCGCCAGGGGTGGCGGTGGTGGCGGCTCAATCACCAGTGGCACCTCATCCTTGGACTTGGGCTTTGGGGTTGAGAGCAGGGTCTTGGTTCAGAAGGCTCGGCCATGTTGCCAGCTGTTGTGGACTTTTGAGAGGTGCGGGTGTGGTCGGACTTTCGCTCCGTGAAGTATTCGACAGTGGCTGACATGTTGGCTACCAGGGGTGACAAGACAACCTGGAGCCTCAGACCTTCTCTGCGAAAGGGCTTATATAGCCCTTTGCTGATGGTCCCCTGCAAGCTCCATGCTTCTCAGCGGGCTTGTCCAAGTCCACAACACTGCACCAAGTCTACAACCTGCACCACCACTACATCCGTTGGCAAATACCACCCTGACCGCGCAGATCCTGCAGAAGAAAATGAGTCGTCCAAGCATCGAAGCTCTCGTCCCGAAAGGTTTCCCAACCGGAGGCAACTGCCTCAGGACCGGACACTTGATTTCAAGGATGCTCGCTCTGAGATGTCACTCAATTTCGAATCATCGTACTTACCGAACACTTTTCAAGCACATAGCCAACAGCACCTGCAGACTTGAACGCAGCATCGCAAACCCCAAGGCCCTGAGCAGAACTCAAACTTCTGGAAAAACTACTCACAGCTCCGCAACGCTCATAGAAAGCCACAATGCAGCTCTGCAACCTCAGCCATGGATCCTTCTCAGGCCCATGGCGCCTGGCACAGAGCGGTCAGACATGCTTAGGAATAGCTTTCTGATAAACAAAAGCTTCAAAGATCCCTCCATACGCCGTGCATCACCGCGCATGGCTGCAAGAGATTCTGCAAAGCTGGCCCTCAGCCCTGCAACTTTGACCGCACTGAGTACAGTTGCTGGCTACCCCGAGACTCCTTCTTCAACAAGAAATACTGATACCAAGACAAGAGTACCATGTTTAGGCATATTTAGGCATAATCCGTCAGTCGAAGGAGCCGCAAAGCCTCCGTGTCCAGGAAAATTCAGTGAGAGGGATACTTGCAATGCCAACATGGGAGGTGCTGACCTGGAAGCCGGGAGCCAGCATCTTGCAGCACAGGCCGCGCATGGCTGAAACAGAAACGAGCGCAGACTGGGGCGCAGTGCCTGCACAATTGCGTGGTACTCGTGGGGAGTGTCTCATGTACGTAAACTTGCTAACATTGTGTCTCGGGGCAAACCTCACTCCATGGTGAGGATACAATGCCATATGCTGCTCCCACATCTGATGGGGCAGGCTACAGGGGGACTCGACTCACATCATGAGTTGCGCGCTCGTAATGAAACACCTTCCTGTGAATTGCATGGCACATGATCTCTCCAGGCATAGACGAACTGCTGAAGCGCAAAGGCTGTGGATGCCGGTCCAAACTGAACATTTGTTGCGGTCTGCTGACACAGGCCAAGTGGCAAAGCCATGGGGCCATTCTGGTCTTTGTTCATGGGCATGCACTTTCAACAACCATGTCTGCCTATCGAATTGTGCTGGCACTTGCACGTATGCAGAGAAGCACCAAGCCACGAAGCCCACCAAGTGGGCTGGCCAATAAAGAGCCCGATGCACCATGCAGCGCTTGCTGACCGACTGAATCTATGAGCACCATCTGCTCCTTGACAGGCAAGAGCTGTCTGGAGCATCTGGTCCTACTACCATGCATCAACTGATGAAACTTGTCTGGATGTATGGGCCTGAATGCCCTTAGTGCAAACTGAAGCATGTTTAAGGAATCATCCCTTCAAGCCACCAAGTTTCAGACCCATACACGCCGTGTGTGAAACTTGCCCAAGACATCTCTAAGAGAGCTTGTCGAGATCGTAAACATATGGCACACCTGAAACATACTGTGAGGAGCTCGCCAACCGTTGCGATCACTTTTTGCACCCAGTCTCTGTGCAACAAGCTACACTGCCTGACCGCTTCAGCCTTGACGGGCTGCTGCACCGCTTATGTGTAGCAATGCTGGCTGCTGTGCCGGTGGCCACTTTCAGATATGCTACGACAGCGCGTGCAAGCATCAAGTCAGAACATCATCCACTCGGCAGGGGTTGCTGGGCATTTTGAACCTGATCGGCTCGGCAACAAAGACACAAGAAAAACAAGCATTCTGAATGAGGGAGACTGAGCAAAACATGCTACAACGAGTTCTCGAAACCAACCGAGAAGGTGCTTCAATGGGGGACTGGTCCCAGGCCCCTAACCACTGCCCAAAGACAACAGCTGCCTCACTATCTGCTAATGTTTACCAAGCGGTGCAGGATGCGTTGGAAACAAGCTGGTGCTGATGGAATGTGGGCTGAGGTCCGAACACCTGCGGCAAAATCTGCATCAGGTTCATGCGGTTCCCAGAGATATCCGCCGCCTGCCCAGCGCTTCCCACGCACAGTTTAGCCAACAGTAGAGAGGTTGCGCACTGCAGATTTGCCGACACATACCTCCATGAGACACGATCGTGCCTGCGCCTTCTGCCAGAAGACCTGCCCAAGTCTTTGAGTTGCAGGCCCTCCCCTCCACCCATCTTTGGCTTTGGAGCTTGGAAAGCACTCCAAATGTCAAACAAGCGCTACGTGACTGGCAAGTCAGCGAAGGCAACACGCAGAGATCGACTGCTGAAACATCTAAAAAGTCGTCAGTATATAGGAAGTTGGCATCATGTACGTATCCTAGTTCACACAAATTGCTCTCTACCACAGCATGGGCTTGCTGAATCATTTGAAATCCACGTACACCACGGAGCATGAACCGCCTCCAGCACGTCACCAGTATCCGAGCAGTCTGGGCAAACTAGACTGCCCCAGCCTCATTTCAAGACCCGAAGGAAGCAGGCTGTGCTCAACAAGTGGGGCAGATTGCACTGGCACACTTCATCGGACGCCAATGCTTCTCAGAAGCCACGGTGTGGGATGCGGCCACATTTCCCACATGGCAGGCCGACCTTATGCGGTAGGGCAGCTGGAGATCTCAAGGCAAGGTCCTGGAAATCTGCGTGCTGGTTTGCCAGCCCGTCTTCAAGTCTAAAACGTCAAACCGTCTCGCAAACAGCCTCGAAGACTCAATTGACTGATCGGCCGCTTGCACGCGTGTCAGTATTCAGGTGCAAGGTTAAACTGCCAAAGCCTAAGAACTAAGACGGCCACTGTCTGGATGTCTCTGCCCTCAGCACCTGCCTGAAGGCACGTGACTCTTGGAAATTGGATGCTGACCCTGCTCTCAGCTCTGCAGTCTTGTCACCGACCGCAACTGGAAGCTGAAAGGGTCACCGACAAGCTTGTAGAGTAGAGGGTGAGCCTCCAACCTAATCCACCAACCCTGATCTCCATACTGCAAACCACTGCGTGACAGCCTCAATGACCTGCTGCTTGGAGAATGGCACATCCTTGAAAAGCTCAGGGCAATCCTGCCATCGAGACTTGTTGATGATTTCATGCCCTTCCCCGCTTTTCAGCAACAACGCGCAAACTTACAGTCCGGGAAGAACTTGTTGGAAGTGCATCTGGGGTCCTAAGGACGCTAGAACGGTTCGCAATTCTCAGTCCTGATCGCACAAGACAAATGAAAGGGGGTCTTCTGAGCTACAACAATTAATGCTTTAGGGCAGCAAGCACGCACGGAACCCTGGCTTATACCCGAAGAGCCAGTCGATGAATCCAAAGCAGCAGTCCGCAAAGAGTTGATGGAGAGGCTCAATGTAGTGACAGGACCTGACCAAGGTGGAGGAGAAAGCAGGTGAGGCATCACTGCATGAAACATCCTTCCTGCAAGCGTGGCCCTGCGTTCTGGCTTTGTGAGTGGTAGCAGGCTCGCACGAATAAAAGAGCACCTATCACTCCAGCCTGTCATCCAGGACATCAAGGACCTGTCGCATTTGCAGCATGTTGCCAGTTACGCACGTGTCAGTACCTGCGCGAAAGGATTCCGACATTAGCGTGCCCATCCCTGTGCCAAAATAGACTTGGTGACGCACTACATGAAGTACCATAGAGCTATGGCGAAGAAGCCTGAGGATAACTCTTTGCAGTGTAAAGGTTGATCTCCCTTCCCTTTCCCATGTGTCTCTCAAAACTAGAAAGTCTTGCTAGTCGGTGTTCCTTCCAAGTAGTGGAGGATATCAATGCTCAACGCCTTCGGAGACTATCTGTGGTTGCTTGCAACCGAACGTGGCCAATTGCTAGCTAGAATTAGAACGTTCATGCCAAGCAGCCGTGTCCGGAGAGACTCCCAGGTTCTTGATCCAAGCCTCAGAGCGTTGAATTCCTCATTCTGGATCTCAACATACTTCTGCTACACTTGCCCGCAAGCACTGTCATGGCAATCCAACCGCTAGGCTCGTTGCACTTTCCTGCTCTTCTCTCTCCTTGGCCTGCATCAATGCTAGAGACCCTTGCGAATGAAAAATCAGCAGAACCTGCCTGCGTCAGCTTCAGCTCATACTGCCAGCGGAGGTAAAGAATGAGCCAGACTGCCTTTCAAGTCAGCCAAAACCTTGAACCCCTCAGTCGCAAAACAAAATGAAAGAAGCGCGGCCCATGCCAACTTAAAATGGCATTCGCTACTACGGCTAACTCAGGCAAATGAGTGGGCCCCGTCCTTGCTGACTGTGGGCTGCTGAGCTTGCGTGGACGTGCCTCGCACACCCATTACCTGCTGCAAGGCAGCCAGAAATTGTTACCGAAGGCTTGCGAGGCCCTTGAACCAAAGCCTCGTGAGCAGTGAGCGAGTGCATAGACGGAAATTAGGAGGCACTGCTCTTGTGAAAGAAATGAGGCCGCTTTATGCCGACGCTTGCTAACTGGTCTGATTCCTTTGCTTTTGCAACTCTTCGCTTTTGCTGGCCTAACGCTCACACCATGCAACCAATGCTAAACTAGGCCTCAAAAGCCATCAAAAGCAGACACTCGATGAACTGATGGAGGCCAAACCTGAGAGCATTCCAGTAGAGTCGCTTAAGAGCAGGCTTCTCCCAAGTTCCGGGCAACTCAACTGTTTTGGCATTCTGCGCGGCCGCCGCCTGCAAGTGCACAGTCAGGGAGTTCTTCTGAGGCCTGCTCTCCAGCAACATCAAACCTGAAAGCCCAGAACGAATCTTCACTGAAATCACTTCATTTTTTGAAGTAACGAATCTTCGTCGGATGCCTCAGTCGCAAGCCCACCCGTCATGCGTGGTAGGCGGTTGCACATTCTAGTGTAGTTTGACACGAACGGCACATCCCGCAATCCGATGCAGCTGGCCTCTGCCAGTCGCACAGCCGCCAGGCCGTCAGCAATTGGAAAACGGCCAGAAAGGGCGACAGTAGCAGCCTGCAGCCGAAGGACTTGACCCACAGAGAAATGGAAATCTTGCAGGGGTGAATCAGCAGATCAGCTGCGGCAACTTCAGAACGTCAATTCCCGCATTTCCCGCAGCATGACTGTCCTGAAGTTGGCGGCGCTGCCGGCCAGAGTCTGCATTCCCCTGCCTTGAGTGAGGAGTAGGTTCTTGCTGGTGGCACGAACATTTGCAGCCAGAAACGCCGTGAACAATGCACGCAGGTTTCTTCGACTTCAACACGGGGCATCATTTCAAAGACCAAAACTCCAAAAGCCTCTCCCCACACGCCGAACTGCTGCAAGCAAATAAGCTGAGGCAGGGGCACTGCGAGAGCCTTGCGACAAGACACCGATAGCGGCGTTCCGAACCCGCAGCGTGCCCCCGACCCCAGCTTGCGACTTACACAAATTACAAGGTCTCGTTTGCCACAGGCATGAGGGAGCCTAGGGTTGCTCACCATCCTGAATGGGGGCAAGGCGACCATCAAATCAGCAAGTGGAGCTGTGACTAAGAGCAAGCAGAAGACGTTTGCATCAAGGAACCAGGGCCAAGATGCCCCAAGCCCGGCTACCCAAATCCGTCGACAGGAATCAATGCCAAAGATACTTGATTAAATGTAAGCTGTCACGTCTGCCTTGAGCAGCTGGACAATGATGGCGACAAATTCCTCCCTCTCAATGACCCCATCCTGCGAGGATGTTTCCGACAGTGAAGCAAAAAATCTTGCAAATGCAAAAGAGTGCACCGCGAAATTAGCTTTGGAATTTAGAAGCGACTACCGCAGGTCCCCATTCACATCAAGGATGTCGAATGGCTGGGCAACTTGAAGCGCCGGGCTTCGGCCGCAGTGCACCCGAAGCAGCACACGTGCCTGCAGCCAGTAAAGCAATAACCTGCAAAAGAGCACTGTCCGGAAGCATTGCGCTCCCCTGGCTATGGCTCTGCAAACAGAGAATCGTGATCATGGCAGGTGTGGTACATGCAGCCCACCATCACCCAAATGCCAACAAACATTTCTCAGAAAAAATTCCCACCCAATATCACCTGGTCCTCGAGCTCTTGCTTCGTGATGGCTTCCTGCAAGGATCGGCCAAGTCCCGCATGACCATCAAACGTTGCCTCCCGCTCGTGGAGCTCCAGGCGCATGTCTTGTACCCACGATCGGCTGATCGGTGTACACACACACACACTATACACACTCTCTACGAAGCTGATGAGTAATGCTGGTGATGTGCAGGCTGTTGTGTGGGGAACCGACCCAAAGTACACCAGTACTCACCAGTCCTTGCCACCCCCCAGCTCCGTGAACAGCACCTCCGGTGACCAGGAGTTCTTCTCCATGACCTGTTTGGCTCCAGGCAGAAATGAGGATCTTGGGATGCAATGCAGCATTTTTGCCCCTTTGTTAGAAAACGGCCGCTTACAATCCATCTGAAAACCTCAAACAACCCAACACCAATAGTCTTCAAAAAGAGTTTGTGGGGAGCGCAAGGGAATATTGGAAGTCCCGGCAGTCCTTGACAAGGTCCCTGAAGAAGTGGCTGGCATTCCACTCTGCCATCGACATGTCTTTCTCAGACTTGAGGAAGAAGTTGGCAGCCTTTGCCCAAAGCAAGTATATTTGCCAGCTCTGAAGGCTGCTGCGCAGATCACTACGATGGGAAGCGACCAGGATCGGACACAGGGCAGTGGCCGCGATCAGGACACAGGGGGGCCTGGACAAGGACACAGCAGGGCCTGGATCAGGACACGAGGACAACCGGAATCGAACGCAGAAACATGAAACATCCTGGAAACAGCCTTTTCCAAAAAACTGCAGATTTCCGGGAAATCTCTGCCCTCCAGAGAGATTGTCTGGCCTGTGGATGCGGATTGGCGTAATCTCCACAAGCCCCATGCACCGACCGTCCAGACGTCGACCACCTCGACCACCCCGACCCGACCATCCCGGCCAAGGCGGCTGTCCCGCATTTCTCGACTGTTTGCAAATGCTGAGTTTGCAAGTGGGGGCGGCTGCGCCCCCGCCAACACAACCGCTCTTTGGAAACATGAACCCGTATCATGTCAAAAAATTCTTCCAAGTCCAAATAACCACGGCGTTCCGTCATGGCTTGCAAGAGCAGGGAGGGATTGACCCCAAAGCCAAGAAACCCAAACCCTAAACACCCTACACTCCATGAACCCTAAACCCGAAAACCTTTAAACCAGGAAAACACTAAACCCAAACCCAAAAAAACCTAAACACCCCAAACCCAAAAACCTAAACTCAAACCCTGAAAACCCTAAACATGCTATACCTAGAGACCTTAACCAGAATGCCATAATTGCTGCCCTGGATGCTCTACAAAGCCTGACGTTGAGACGTCAGTTGTTTTCACCGCCCCTGTGTGGTTTGCCGGGGTTTAAGATATATGGCGGGCCAAAATTGCATGGGCTCATATGGAATGCAAACTTCGACGCACTCCCCGAATGAAGCTTGGCTACAAATACCCCTTTGGCCCGTTTGGGAGGGGACGTAGCACGGGAGGGCAAGAGGATTCGAACCAGAGCTGACATGTCCCCTCGAGCCCAGTTTGCGATTCGTGCTGCAAATATGGATGCTGAAGATGGCATCCCTTGTTGGCACCGCTCATTTAGCAATATGGAGCTCAACCCCGAAATCCCTAAACCCTTGGACAGAAACTTTAAACATTAAAAGCGCAGCCTCAACCCCCCTGCCATGTAAACGTGCCAAGGTGGCGTGGGGGGGCTGTCAATGGTTGCAACCCCCCGCCCTTTTTCCTCTCAAAGTCATCTTAGTGTTCTTGTCCGAAACCCTCCCAAGAATACGGAGAGATTTCCCTAGAATCTCCGTCCTCCCGGGATCAGGGCCTTCCAGGGCCTCCAGAGCCTTGCAGGGCCGCTTCTGTCCCCCCGTGTGTGTCTGATCCGCGGCCCCTGTCTGCGTCCTGATCCGGTCGAAGGGCACGAACAATCACAGCACATCTGTTGTGAGAGCGATGCCAGGTCCAACTTGTGCTTCTGCTTGGCAATGACAGCCAAGGCCTCCACACTCGACCGAACAGGGCAAAGCTCTCCAGGATGCTTGGATTGCGGGATGGCGTAGCAAAAGCTACAGAAGCATTATGTTTCATGGCTTCAACCAAGGCACCTGGTGCAGCTCTCGGGGCGTCAGTAGCCCATTTTCAGCTGACATCAGGAGTGGTAGCAGCCTACAAGGCGGATTTCTTCATTTGGATTGTTGTTGGCATTGCATCGCTGTATGTGGAGATTTCCTCCCTGCTGTTTCTTGATCCTAGGAAAGCAGCACAGAAAAACTGTTGAGCAGCAGCATTTCTGGTTGGTTACAGGTGCGGAGCCTTCTTGGAGGGCAACGGGCGGTTGCGGCAAGGTGCGTCACGCGAAGGGAGGGCAATCCACAACTCATGCTTTCTGAAGTAAGAAACCATGGTACAGAAAGTCATCAGATTGCTGCCGCTAGCACCCGAATACCGGATCTCCGCTTTATGCCAGAGTCAGTCAAACTCCTACAGTTGAAATGGTTTTCCATGATTTCATCAAATTGCATGTCTGCACAGCCGAAATCCAGTGGCTAGGCCCTGAGCTTGTGTGAGCCTATCAGGACTGAAATGACCAGGTCTGGGCCTATGGAGCTCCTCATCATCAGGCAAATTCTGCAGCCGCATGAGCTTGAGGCCTGTCGCAGAAGATGGGCACTTGCGCGCTGAGCATTTTTAAGGGTCGCCAATCAGGAGTCAAGCTTTGCGAATGGAAGCTGCCGCAGATAATGCAATCTGGACAACATGAAACCTGCCGAGAGCATACCCCAGGGCGGATCCGCCTTCGACAAACTCCTTCGTGCTGATCAAGCCACTGGCATTGATATCCTGCTTTTCTGCTGCTTCTCTGATTATCCTCATCTCTGCAGACACTACCAGAATTACTGTCGTTCTTGCAGTCACTATGGCAAGTCCGCACGGTGGAAAGTTGTGTTCATCGATTTTCCTGCATCAGCAAATTCCTCATTCAGCTTAGCACGTATACTAAACTACAAGATCTGGTTGCAGAAGCCAACAGCAACTTCGACATCACACCCTAGCAATGATAGCCTGAATATCATGGTGCACTAGCAATGGTTAGCATTACGTACAGTATGCATAAAACGGTGTCAACCGTTACGAGTAGCCGCTCTGATACGTTTTGTGCTACTATCCTGCCCTTCAAGCCGAGTCAACACGCTCCAGGAAATTAAAGACGTCGGTGGGCGTCCACATCCTGTCCTGCAAAAGATGGGGTTTCCAGCCGTCCAATCACGAGGGATGAAGGGTTGTGATCTGAGCGTTTGCAGAACTGCCAAGTAGATCCTGCTATGCTCCAGGGTCCCCCAAATTTCCTGGCCTTCATCCAGTCGTTGATGGCGCTGAGAATGCAAACACACTTGGACTCCTGACAGCATCAGCTTACAACTGCCATAGTTGGCCGCAAAATCACGAGATACGAGTACGTTGGAGCCAAAGGGAAGCTGGTCACTTCCCGGAAAGAATCTGCTCAATCGTCAAACCTAAATAAAACCATCCAAACATCAGGAACCATGCGTAAAGCTCAGGCCTGAAGAGCCCACTACAGTCCTCCTCACTGTGATGAGCAAAGTCATGAGTCAGCCAACCGAGACGCCTTGGGGCAAAGGGCTGATCTAGCTGGGCCAACTACTTGTAGCCAGGTGCAAAGACGTTGCTGTGAGGTCAACTCGGGGCTGAGAGACTCAGATCCGATGATCACCATGGGTCACGGTGTAGCATCTCCTAAAACATAGAGAACAACCAGTACCCTTTCTGAACTCATCACCAGGAACCTGCAAGTCATGCAGCAGGCTGCTGTTCACAGAAAATCCCGGAAAAAAATGAGATCATGCGTCAACACCTGTCCGAGCTGGACTCAATAACTTGAAATGCCTCAAGCGGAATGCCCGAAGAGCCAGCAAGATTGGACACACAGTGGCCAAACAGTCAGCACAGATCAAAAAAAGTAGATTCCCCAGCTGAGATGGGGGCATTGGGACCTGCTGCCCGTTCCAGAAGATCTGGTTTGGTGGGTCTGTCTGCTTGCTGCCTTGTGTGGCAGTGTGGTAGCTGAAGCATACATGAGGTACCGTAGCCATTATCCTGCCAGTCACATCATATGAATCGACACGGGTGTGAAGTTGATATACATCCGGGGCACATCTCCTTGTCACTTGTCCTGCTCGTTTCGATGTCGGAATAAAATCACCAGAGGATCTGAAAAATGCATTCCAGCTTTTAACTGCAGGGCTTGTCGAAACCTCCTTCCACACCCCACCTAGGACTCGCATCTTCCGCCTCCTCCATTTCTATAGCGGCAAAATCCTTCAATGTCCCTGCAAGCCTTACATGAAAACCAAGCTGAGCCCCGAGCGCGGCTTCTTTATCGAGCGGCGCTTCTTCGGTGGACTTTTCGGTGCCGGGCTGGATTCACGGTTCGTCGAGGAGCTCTTGGCATCCTCTGATGGCGATCCCTGGTACATACGTCAGGCTAAGGAATGTGAACCAAGGATAAGCATTTCTTCCACGTTGGGCCCACAATCACATGACGAAAAGTTGACGCACGCATCCAGCAACCACGGAACTGTAATGCAACATTACCAAGGAAGCATCAAACGTTTTTTCTAGGAAATGTTGCAAGCCTGAAGAATTGCAGAGTGCAAGACAAAGTCGGGCGATCTGTGCTGTAGGCAGGAGTAGGGCCTCCCTTCCACTTGACAGGTATATTCCATTGGGGTGAAAATTGAAACCCCTGCGCTCCCCTCTGATCAAACCGCAGAAGTAGAACATCGCGCGGAAGCAATGAGTGTGGCTTTGGGTAGATACCCCAAAAGAAGTACAGCGCGCTGGCGTCAGCTCTCTGCGGCGAGCTCGCTATGCTAAACCTTTGCAAGTACTGCAGAATCTCTCAACCTCCCTGGATGGCGCGAGGCAGACCTAAATGCCAGCCAGACCAACAACCCACACTGAAGAGAAGCAGAAGGTGGACCTGCGTGAACTCTCTGGACTTTTCTGTCCTGCGGTTCACACTCCGCCGCGCACAAGCCGTACAAGTGCCTTTGAGTGCCAAAGTTGAAATCGTAAAGGTGGAGGACAGCTTGGGGTAGCTTAGGTCTGTGCGTTCACTGATAGGAACGACAGATTCTGACCTACGATCATACAGAATGATAGGATAAACAGCTTGCTAAAGATCCTTAATGCCAGGAGCAGTCATGTGCTTGGCAGCCTTATAATATCGCACGTCAGTGTAGGTTCCTGCACACCATCTGACACCAGCAAGAACCCCAAGCGTGTGGACCTGGACACCCTCAGGCTCTGGCTGTATGGTCTGTAGGTCTACGACAGAAGGAAACAAGCCGAAGTCAAAGCAAAACCTGCCCAGTGCGCTTCTTCAAGCAGTGGTACCCACAGTTGCGAGACGTCCGCGTAGTGTTGAAAGCACACTGTTATAGAGAGATTAGAGAGGTAAGGGCTCCCAACACATGCTGCTGATCGTATGTACGTGCCTCAGGAAGCCTGAAATACTCATCTGGCTCGCACCCGCTGACGTTGGAAAGTCGTGGTACTTGTCAAAGAGCGCCTGCGCGACACATGCCGACGCCAGCGATCTTGCATCACGTTTACATCTGCGCAGTGGTCCGATAATTTTTGCCACGAGCGGAAGCAGCAAGTTCTGACTGCCCCTCTGCTTCATGGGGCGACTTGTGCGCTGGTATTCCGTGAGACCGCTATACACATGCCATGAGGATCCAAATTCACCGCGTTTTACGCTTGCATTCTGTGAGCATGATATTAAGATCTCTTTGGACAAGGCATACCAGGTCACACCTGACTGCCTGTCACCCAGGAGCTGAAGCATGTGAATGAAAGAATTCAAGAAACCTAAATACAAATTCCATTCAGCGAACGCATACGTGTCCACAGTGTACTCGACATCCCTCTTCCCGCCTACAAAGCTTTATTGCTGCTGCTGAGCCAAAGATTGGTTGAGTATCAAAACGATGACAAAGCCAAATAGCGCGGCACCGGTCCCCGCAATCGCTCTCATGAAGATTGCGCTGGCGGGATATAGAGCATAGAACAGAATGACCATGACGATGCCCATGACCAAAACTGACGTCCGCACTGCAGCCAGTAAAGTCTCCATCGCCCAACACTGCAACAATTAGGATAGTCGTCTGCCCATAAACTGAAAGCACAGATTGGGCCGGCTACAGTACTGAGAACACAGGAAGCCCAGCATTACGCCAGGGCATGCGGGGAACATAGTCAGGTACAAATAGTTCCAAGGAACGGTCTTCATCATCCGCATGAAGCCTTGCCAAAGCCCTGCGACGCTGCAGCATGACTGGCAGGACATGGCTTCATCAAAAGCCATCAGCGCCAAGATCACCAAGAAAAATACGTACGGAATCCACGGCTGAACATGAAAAAGCATGCTGCATGAAGACGAAGCGCAGATTAAGTGCGAAGGTCGAATTAGCATCAGGCCCAAGATGCAGCAAATCTTCTTGACAAAACCTAGATCTAGTCGAATCTCAGCAGGCAGGCTCCAGTCAGCGAACGCAGGTTGTGCGCACGAGTACTGCTCCAAGCCGACATTGCCCAATTCTGCCTTGCATGACGGGCTATGTTTTGGATCCTATCCACGTCGAAGCTCTGCACACTGCTTCGAGAGCTTGAGCCCAAAGTCCACAAGTGTGTTACGTGGCCCATGCTGACTTGAGAGACGCAGCATGCCCTTGTATTCCATTGAGACGGCACTCGTGGCCAGTGGCACCTGGAAAATTCCGAGGAACATCGCCTGCAGCCAGCAGGAAATCACTGTGAACACATGCAGCATATCCCTCCCTGCCCAGTGCCAACTGCTGGTCATGCAAAACCTGCTTGCTTCGAGGTCTCTCCACCATAATCTCTACCGTAGCATGTAAGATATCTGGGGCCAACACTGCTGCCCTGCGTGAAGATGGACTGAGCCAATGTCTGAGGGTCGGGCTACAAAACTGATGATTTCGGGTTCAAGCATCTGGCTCTGCAAGAACTCTGCCTCAATCGCGTAACAGTCTGGTTTTCCACAATCCCCAAAAATCAAACAAAAAAAAACATGCGACACTCAGCATGTGAACTTCGAGGCTTGATCAATCCACACCCCTCGTTGCTTCTCTGCCATCGAGGGGCCTTGACCATCTCGGCTGGCAGGGGCTCTGACAAGTCGAGATGACCCTCGTCCCTGGCCAGCTATGACTGGAAGCTGTGAGAACAGGTCAGGCATCTAAATGACAGCAAAACTTGGGAAGAACAACAAACGAAAGAGTCTTACCTGAAGCGAAGAGCGAACAAGTTTGCTGCCGGCCCTCAACCTCCACTGGGAGCCTGAGAATGTACGGGGATATAATAGCACGAGCATGAAGAACAGGCCACGCGCACGGTTCCTCTTCCACCTTTGGGGGGCTGGGAGGTCGAGCCACACGCCTGCATTCAAATCTGGCAAGTTTGAGTGCTTTCAATCTGGAGTGTCTGTGCACATGGCTGCACCTAAGCTGTTTGACGTTTCTGGTGGGAATGCTTGTGGCTCATGGATTTTTCCTCTACGGTCTCAAATCTCCCTTCCCACATGTCAGCCTTCCGCTTTGGCTCCGCGCTCGTGGGGTGCGCCGCCTCCACGCCAAGACATCAACATAGTCTCGAAGAGTTGCTGAAGGGGAAGTCTGAAGTTGTTGTCCGCCGAGAATGGCCCGTATGCAAGTACGAAGCCTAAGCAGTCAAAGCAGACCAGAACATGAACTAGCCTGAATGCGCAGAATTTCAATGCAACCTGCAGCGCGCCTGTTTGTGGGAGAAGATGCCTGAGATGGGGCCTCACATAGCAAGCTGCTGCTTCTGAGTCACGTGCTACCCCAAAAGTCGGAAGAGGGACCCACCGCGCGCAACATACATGAAACACGAGCCTGAACAATCGCAAACTGCTAACACCTCTTACACAACGCGTAGTAGCACAACTGCAGGCGCAACCAAGCACCACTCACTGCAGCGCATTCCCCCAGCAAATCCAACGCACAATAGCACGACGTGGCACTGAAAAAAAACGTCGTGGATGTTCGTGGACTGAATCTGAAGCAAGTCCCCCCATACCAGGGCAGGTGAGCGGGCGGGCGGGCAATTTGAAAGCTCAACGAAGCTGTCGCTGCAATGCACCTTGAAGTTGATCAACTCAAGCCTGAACGCCTGAACGCACACTCACGAAAAAGTCAACCAAGCGCAAGAATACTGTGAGGAACAGGTCGTTTTCGGTGCATGGGCACAGAACCCAGTCTACCCAAGCACCAGCTAACCAACACTAGCCTGAACTCGCACAAACAGCTAACACGCTTCAACCAAGTCGCAGTAGCACACCTGCACGGGCATGCAACCAAGCCCACTCTGACGTGACGCACCAAGCACCTGTCAACTGGCTACCCATAGAAGACTGTTGGGTCCTCAGGATCGCGTCCAGGATCTGGATGGACATACGCTTGTCAGGGCCAAACCCATCTAGAATCTAGACGATCTCAGCTGAGGTTTTCCGCCCAAACACTGCGACAACCAGCAATATAAGAGCAATAATCGAAACCCGCAGGGGTGAAGAATCCGAGGACTGAACCAGCACAGGTTGACTGAAGAGGGACATTGAGAAAGTGCTGGGGATGCTGAATTGGTATGCGAGAAACGCCCCGTGGCTTTGTCAATTGCTGCAGGCCCTGTGCCATTGCCTTTATCGTCTTTGTGTGGTGTTCCGCTCAGTGCTCCCTGACTAGCTTCACCATTGAAACGCGCTTTGGGCTGGGATCTTAGCGCGGAACACACCCTTCCGGCCATGGACATCTGTCATGATGGGAAACTCTTCAAAATTGGTGGATGCAAGGTGAAGTCTGGACCTTCCTCCCTTCACATCTCCTCGGATCCGAGATGCTTTGGCCCACTTGATTTTTCTTGCTTTGATAGCCTTGATGTTACAACTTCGAGGGTCTTCCCTTTTCTGCCAAACATGGTGCACCCCCGATTCCCTTGTGGTGTTGGAGCCTGGTGGTCTTCCTGGCGCAGCTGATGCGTTTGCTGATGATTGGGTTGCGGATGGTGCTCCCTGCGCTCGTGACGGTGCCTGTTGGTTTGCAGTGCGGAGCTTGGCCCATACTTTTTTTGTAATTCTGGAGGAAGGAAGAACATCAGTAAAAAAAGATACAGCGAAACTTCCAAGATCATCACCCAGCCTCACCTTTGCCCAAGGAAGAGTCACGCTAGGGCCACAAAAAAAAGGGAACCAAAGCCGCAAGCAGAGAAGATACAGATAGAGACAGTACTTGGGCTGGGAGAAAGATGATACTATCATCAACATAGAGCCACAACCCGCGACCCATTTAAATCCACCGATGAAGATGGCAGACTAAGAGGCATTGATTCTACTGAACAGGTAGCACCATTTGCAGCCAAAAGGAGCGACAAGGTTAGCAATCACACTCCAACGCAGCATAGCAGCCAATGATGGTCTTCGCCGCAACCAAGTTGCAATGCCAGCTCCAGCTGGTTTTGCACAAAAAGAAGTAAAGGAACGGCCTCTCTAGGGGCTCGCTGGGACCACTTCTCCGAACAACACCAAGCCTTGACCAGAGGACTGTCCAGACAATTCATCAACTCGCTCAGTTGAAACTTGTAGGAGGCAAAGATCATCGTGGAAAGACTGCCCGGGAAGTCTAGAGTCTAGAAGTTGGCCAAGCTTGGGAGCTCCAGCCGACATAATTTCCAAGCGGTCCACGTGCCAAGTGCTGCCGCAGAGTCGACGAGGCCTTGTCCAGGAATAGATGACCTGCATGAGCCAAAGTCACACGACTTCAAAAAGTCAATGAAGCCAGCCCAGATAGCGGCAGAGCGAGCCCGATGATCATCCGCTTCACGGCACAAGTCGCGAGTAACGGCTTTTGGCACCAGATCCTTAAGAAGGGTTTAGGGTTCGAGACCGCGGCTTGGGGAAGCTTAGCTACAAATGGCTCCCTGAGCGCCTTTTGCTTGACGTGCTCGCTAGCTCTATGACACGTTGACGGTGGATCGCCATGTTGCAAAAAGGGTTCCCAAGGGCAAGCCCCTCGAGAAAGTTGCGCGCGTGTCAAGGGCATGAGTAGGCGGGCAATGGGTGTTGCGCAGGGCACAGGAAGCACGGGAACTTTGGGGAGCCTTATGGAGGGCTGGAAAGTTTTCCAGAGCGCTGCGATGCACTGAGAAGAGAGTGTTAATGGGGGCGCTGTGGAGCGCCTGTGGGGCGCTGACATCTGTGTGCAAGCGAGGCATTGGGAGCACTGAAGAAAATCGCCGTAGCGCGAGCCAGAAATCTATGAGGCAACCTGCCTTCCGCTCTTGGACCTCTCCCATGCACAGCAAGGGAAGGTGAGGATGCAAGCTTATTCCAAGGAAGTCAAGCAGGAATGCAGGGGCGCTGTGGCCTTCTTCCAGGGTCTTTGGGGAGGAGCTCATTGGGGAGCACACCGGTCTGCTATAGCATGTTTAGGGGTGCAACTTGCAAGCGACCGCTAAAGATTTTCTACTTTCAATTTTGGCAGCCCCAATAGCCAGCATTGTGAAGAGGGCAAAGAAGAACCGGACAGCGAAGAGCACGACAACGGTGGCGTCATTACAAACTGGCTGCCGCGAATCTTGGGATGCGGGCATGAGATGCCATCCGTTGAAAAAGATAAATAGACTTACAAAAATCTTCCGTAACAGGAATGAAGCTCCGCGGTTGCTCCGGCACGGCACGCACCCATAGTGTTCGGTGCATGCACTTAACCCGCACAAGGACCCATAGAGAAGGGTAAGCATGTTGCGAAACAGCCTCGCTGGTCACCTCAGACTCTGCATCCAACTCCTTGGGAACCTGAGGCCAAGGACCGTGAGCGAAACCAGCAGGTGGCAAAGGACGGCAGCTGAGCAGGCTTGCACGGCTGCTTACAGCAGATGTCGGCCGTGTGCTGGTACCTAGGCGGATTGCATGGAGCACAGGTAAGTGAATCCATGCTTCTCATTGGAGCAGCGGTCAATCAGGAATGGAGAATTGAGAACTATCCTCAGCTTAAAAGATCTGAAAGTTCTCCAGCATTCTGAGATGACAATTTCAATTTCAAGGTCTTTGCGCAACTTGGATGATTGAGGCCCCCTGCTTGTATGGATCATCCAAGGCCCCAACCAGATCCTGGAGCACTACGATCACCCCTGCGAGTGCACTCCAGGCCTTGCCGGAAGCCGGAAGCCGGACCCTATCACTTGCCACTTGGCTATTCAAACTCAGGTCTTATCTGGCCAGCTTCCTACTGTTCTCGAAAGGTGGTTGAAAGCAGAGGGGCCCAGGCTTGGCTCTTCCAAAGCAGGTGACCAACGAACTGCCTGCTTCATGTGCTTCTCATGACTGCAGCTAATGCAGTACGGTTTCATGCGCTACTTAGCTACAAATCTGATTCATGCTTCGACTTCATATCATGCTAGTACCTGACCTGGCGGCAGTCCGCCTGCTTCTGGACTTTCGCGACCTGGCGCTCAGGTGAAATGCACTGGGCAGACAGGCATGGATAAAGACAGCAGCGCGCTGAATACAACTGTGGAAAGAAGAAAACTGTGGACAGAAATGGGACACTCTTGCGAGGCCAAACTCTGCACCACTCTGCCACACAGAGTCTTCCTGCAGTGGCACTCTCACTGCAGTTTTGCCTTTTGGTGGAGCAGCCGGCAGCGAGCGTCTGCGTAGGCCTGCTACACTGAAAGTAACACACGCAAGGCCATGACCTTTGCCCTGTGCTACTGGGAACAAAGCTTCCGGAAAATACCCTTAGGTCCCACCATCCTGTTGCATTGGTCCAGCATGCCTGAGCGCCGGGAAGCAGGCTGAAGAAGAAGTGTTTCTTGGCGCGCGGAAGCGCCTCTGACATGTCCTGCACCAGATTCAGACTATAGTGCAGATCTAGGCAAATCCTGCAAAAAATGCATGCACAAATCTAGGCTGAATGACAGGTCCGGCAAGGTGCAGTGACTGCCAAGTGGGCTGGGCTGGGGGACGCTGACGCTTGCAAGCACACACTCCTGCCCTTCTAAGAGCGGATTCGTGGCCATGTCCTCCAACAGCTGGCCGAATAGCCTGCACAAGATGAAGCTCTCTGTGCCACAACATCCTCAAGTGCTGCACACAAGCTGCCTCATGAGCGCCACGCTATTTGTATCCTGGCGGCAGCATGCTACGGTTCACATGGAACTTACCCGGTACGTCGGTAAGATGCTAGCAGCCCGTGCGGGGCAGCAGGCTGAGCTTCTCGGGCCACGACATTGACAAGCTGCCACATTGAGCTCTCGTCCTGAGATCATCTCGACTCGAGGGACATAGGGGTAGATTCTGCCCATCACCAAGAAAACTGTCTTGCAATTCACAGTGTTCACGGTGTAAGCCCCGGACCGGTTTCTCCGGCAGGGCTGGAAGCCTCGGAAAACTTGTTCCTCCGGCTTGGGGAAAACCAGACCGTGGAGTCACGCAAGTTCCAGCTTCTGGAGTGGCTGACCAAGTGCTAGCCAATCAGCCCTAGTTGTCACCAGCAGCCTTGGCCTCAGCCTGCCCACTCATCTGAAATATACTGAGGATGGGGCGGGAGCCCCAAGATCACACCCCCAGACACCGGCATCCCGTTCAATGGGCACTGCTTGGCCTGAAAACAGCCGGTGCTAGATAGTAGCCCAACATAGAGCACTCAAAAGAGCAGCTCTTAACCCGAAGGACCTCGGGCGTACCTCCTACTACTGTACAGTAGCTGTTCAGCAAGCCTGGGAGTCAAAGCACTTCACCACGCGATGGAACCTTGGCCTCAGCCCGAATCACAAAGACCATCCCAGCAAGAAAGGTTCCGAGCAGCATGCAGCAGTGTATCTCGACCATCTGAGCTCTGAACACTAGATCTTTCGTTTGCGAGGAGATTCCCAGAGCGATCAGAAGCTGGCAAAAGGAAGGCCTTTCATGTCGACATGCTTTCAGCTGTATGTGCTGCTAAAATCCATCACTACATTTTCAGGCCAAAGCACCAAAGAGTCCAACCCTTCATCCCCAGGCCTGTTCAGAACAAGCTCATGCGAATCTGTGCCAACACTTGGTCCTCGCCCGACCTCCACAAAGTCAATATGAGATTCTACTTGTTGAGATGATGTCTGCCCGCCCAGAGTCTGCCCCTTGCACGGCACCAGCACCCCGAGCGCCTGATTGCTCAGAGGCTGCGTCAAGCTGGCGAAGACGCGGCAGACCCGCACGATTTCCTCGACCTCTTCAGGGGCCAGCTTCACCTGAGCTCTGCAAACCTGCTCTCGAGCACTACTTGCAGCTTTGCTGCCAAAGAACTACTTGCAGCACAAAAGTGAAGCTGCCGCAGGAATGCGATACCGTACTGCGCACCTTTGATCTGAAGGCCACCGGCTTTGGAGGCTCAACCTCGTTGACCTTGCGCCGTGCCAATTGCACAACTCTGCCGAAAATGCAAGGGAGAAACATCGGACAGCTGCATGCATTATCATCAGCCAAGGGTGTGACGAGGCCGTCTTGGCCTATCAAGGCTTCAGGTAAAAGCTGTCGCGGAGCTGGGAGAGGGAGGAAGATGGAAGACCACCATCTATCAGCCTTGGCGTGCTAGGCTTGCAGCTGACACCTGTCTCCAGCTGAAGTGGGCAGACGAACTTGATCTTGTGACACTGTCTCGCTGCGGCCACAAGTTTGGGAGAACCACTCTTTGCCTTCATGAATGAACACATTCAGAAGCACGCTGAACTCAGGCAGCCCGAAGCTTAGATTGGACTGCTAACTCATGCTAGCCAAAACCAAGCCCACCCTCCCTCTGCATCTGGGCCCCCTTGCCACTGCTGCAGCCTGTCTCTGCACTGAGGCCTCCTTGTGAGTCTCTTCCACCTCTCGGATTCATGTAGGGTTAAGGAGAGCCATGCAGGAAACCAGGAGCGCTAATTATGACAAATCAGCAGATACGCAACACATTCACATGGAATAGCAATGCGGCGATGCGCGGTTGGAGAAACTGATGCAGCCAAGCCAGCCAGTCAATCTGCAATGTGCTTCGAGCAGGAAACTGGCCTTCTGCGCTAATTGCTTGGCAACATAGGCTCGGTCAACCTCCAGAGCACCTGATGCGTCAAGTTTGCTGGTCAGGCTCCCTTTCGGGGTTCTCTGTGCTTTCTGTTCTGTCTTGCCCAGGCAGAACTAGAGCTCAGCACCTCATGATGTTTCCCGCGTGTCGCTTTGTCATCAGGATCCACTTTTCGCTCAAATTAGCCTTTTGCGCCAGCCAAAGAAAATACAAGTAAACCAGGCGGGTATGAACGGTCGGTTCGCCCGATCCAATGACGTCCTCTACTTCCATGCTGTGAAAGGGGCTGTTGTCTAAAGCGGCCAGAGGCAGATGGCTCGCAACTTCTGCCGGAAATGGTGCTATCGCTATGGCCTGGTTGATTGGGTTGGGTTCGACCGAGCAACAGCAAGCGAATTCCTCCTGTCCCCTCAATGCAGTCGTGGAGCCTTGCTGCGCAGTCGACAGGCCTTGCGTGGGGCTGCACAATGTACTGTCAGACATGAGCAGGATGATAGACGTGAAGGACACGGGCCATGGAAGGCCTGGCCTGGCTTCTCAAGCACAGCGCGAGTCTCAACAGCGACGCCCTGCCCGCATCGCGAAACAGCATATTGCCTCCTTTTGCCAAAAGCCTCAACGTCAGGCTTGCATGCATATGCTACCATGCATGTTTCTGGGCGTGTCGAGACACGCTGGAGTGCATTTTGCTTCTACTTCTTTCTCTGCAGAAGAATTTAGATTGCAACTTCTTAAGGCGAACTGGCAAACGCACAAGGATGTGGTACCTGCTTCTCGGCTAAAATACCAACGCACATTCCCAGTTGGTGCCTCTGCCGCCGTGAGCCTCTGCTAAGGCAATGTCAGCAGCAAAGTGAACAATCTGACTTTCATGCCTACAACACTTCTCCATCAACTCTCCTCGGGCATGGCAAAAGTGCAAAGTAAAAGCCATTTGTCTTGGATTTGCATCACCCAGCAGATGTTCCGCTATAACCACATATCTGCTTCACACAGCACACCTGCAGCACATGCCAAGCAGACGGCGGGGCTTTCACAGGTTTCAAGGATGGCCTAGGCAGCTTGGACCCACCTGACGCAGCAGAACACAATGGCCGCAAATCGTAAAAGGAACTCGCACAGCTTCGATGGGGGGAATATGCACGTGACAAATGAGCAATCTGAGGTGGGGTGAATGCTGCAACATGCTTGAACCACAACATGAACCTCGCCAAAAACTGTTATCCTGGTGTCCTAGCGTTCCTGCCTGTAACTCTTCTGCTGCCTTTGCAGATTTAAGGGGCCCTTCTTCTTCAATTTGGGAAGCTTCTGGCTGCAGAGTCGGAAGCCTCGAATATCGAGAGCTCTGCTGTGAGCACGTTCCACACTTGGTCTACTCCTAAATGGCTGGCAGCCTGAAGTTCAGGATGCACCCCGATCACCAACAGCCACAGTCCTCAGCAGAAAACCTGATTTTCATACTAAAGCAAAGAGGATCCAAACTCCAGCTGCTCTGAAATGGATCCGCCCATGTGAACCTTTGCATATCTTTGCATCATAAATAAACCATGCACTAGTGCTTTGCCTGCCTTCCGCCAGCTGCCTCCTCTCGTGCAGGGGCAGCTTTGGAGCTCGGCAAAGGAAAGGGGTGGGGAGCTGGTCCCAAGATGTTTTGCGCAGCTTCCCAAAACCCTAAACCCCTAAACCCCGCAACCCTTTTGCAACAGGCTTGCAGGTACGCGCCTGGGTTGACGACCTGCCCAAGGACCCCTCCACTGGACTCATGCCAGCAACCCCTCAACCCTAAACCCCTAACCCTGAACTCTAAACCCCTACACCCTGAACCCTAAACCCCTAAACCCTAAACCCCCTAAACGTCACATCCGCCATGATTTCTTCACACTGACATTTCATGAGTGACCCAACGTCTCCTGCCATTCCTCTTCTTGCCGCCTGGCTTTCCTGAAGTGGCCTGCGGCGGGCAAAGGAAACCGTAGAGTGACACAACCTCCAGCAAAAACATGGCCAGCTGGCCGGTACCAAACTTACATTGTAACCAGACTGTCCGAAGCAAAGCTTCTGAAGACGAACCAGAGCTTCTACGTTTGGGATCCTTGACTGCTTCGGTCATCACTCCCCACAGTCACAAGGCCCCACAACGTAACTTCAGGAGCTCCTCAGTCCTCGCCGTCGAGGCCTAACACGCGGTGTGCTGGTGGCGGCACGAGGATTGGAAGCTCTGCCTGGCTTGGCGGCCACCAACGAAACGCTCCCATCCAATCGAACACGCGTCATAGGGGACATGAACTTCAGGCGGTGCTGTGAGGCGCATACAAATCGGATCCCTCTGTGCTCTAGGATCAGAACACCTCACGCCCTTGTCTCTAAAAACTCTCCTCGAAGCCAGGCATACTTCCAGTGCAGATGCCGCACATCTCACAAAGCTTTATCGTACAACAAATTGTTGCGAGGTGCGTGGCCTCCTTGCCGCTGAGCAGGTCTCTGGCATCCTGGAGACACTACAACCCTCCCACGTTGGGGCCAAGACCCTTGGAGTTTGCGTTGTTTTTGCCGCTTGCATGGCCGAAGTTTGCGTTTTAGACTTTGGGGTTAGACGTATCACGGCTGACTTCCGCCGCTCAATGTGTTGGAGGACAGCCAACAAGCAAACACTCACGCACTCAGATCTGGACTCGCCAGAGATTGGCCTCCGCGGCACAGGAGTTACTTCAAAGCAAACATTCACGCATGTTCCGCGGACAAAGTCGTGCAACGAAGACCCAGGCCAAGTCCTCTGACTGAAAGATCGTTTAAAGACCCGAATAAGCAGAAGAGGCCATGGATGCTGCGCTGTATTCTCGGGCTAGGACCGTGGAAGCAGTTTGCCTGGCTTCACAGCTGTCATTAGAAGTTTCAGGGTTGACACTCACTATCTTGCAACGCTCCAGCGCGTCATTGCTGCAGCGCAATGTGCGCACCTGTCTGAGGTCTGCGGCAGGGAGGGCAGCGTTGGAACTGACTGGACCTCCAATACTTCCCAGAGGTTGTCGAGTTCATTGTGGATCGGAAATTGTTTAGGAGAAGCGAAAGGGAGGTGTTAGCAGGCTAGGCTAAGCTTGAACAATCAAGTACTTGGCATAGCAATAGCTGAGCAACAGCCTGCGTTGGATGATGCTGGACGCATCTGTCAAGAGAGAGGTCCTGTGCAACTCAGGCCTCCCGCAGGCGCTGTACAAGCGATGGAAGGTTCTGCGGCTCCTTCTGGCAAAGCCCAGGTCTGAGAGCAGAACACAAAGCAGAACAAAGCTTCTCATGAAACCCTAGCAGGTACTGTTAGTGATGTAGGTGGGTGTCCATTATACGCAAATTGGCATGGCATGTCCTGCTGCACTTCTCGCACGGACGAGTCGTCCCGCAAGGGCACTGTTGGGCGCCATCGAGCTACTGAGCGGTCCTCACGCCGACATGCATTCTTGCTTGACTCGCTGCCAGCCACCCAGTAAAACATCTGCGGCTAGCGTGTGCGTCTTCCAGTCCTAGACGGCTCATGAAATCCGAATTTGTACTGAGGCCGGGACAAGCTTGTGGCGGGATCGGATCGACCCCACAGTTGGCAGGTATGGCAAAAACTGCTTTGGCGCAGACATCCAGAGCGACGATAGCCGCCTTTCACTCTTGGGCAATCACTTTGCCATGGGCGGCTAGGCCTGCTCTGTCTAAAGTCGCCCGGGATGCACCAGCTGCTTTGGCTGATGCTTGAGCACGCATCTTTGAAATGACACCTGAAAGTCGTTCTGCAATCGAAGCACTGCCTCCTCGCCTCAACAAAGTCTTCTTTTACTGGACACTAAACGATCTTCAGTTCATCTTCAGCACTCGGCGGAGGTGGAACCGGCCGCGAGTAGAGCGCAACCCCGGAGCCAACAAGGGTAGCAGAGGCCACACCCGTTACGCCCAGCGGCGCCCCAAAGAGCATGAAGCCGAGCAGCATTGTAAACACCACCTTCAGGCCGCAACTTGCGCAATGCTGGCAGCTGCTAGCACCTCTCAGATCCAACCTTCCTAGGCTTCTGCTCTCGCTCCCTTTTCCTCTCACTCGGTGCCTCCAAACCTGAGGCCACAGCCTTGAGCACGGAGTCGAGATGCTTCAGGAAGAAGCCGGTGACTAAACCCACGGAGGACATGATCCCGATGATCAGGACAACCCTCGACAACAAGCAACACGACTCTTGCCATGCTTGCTGATATTCTTGGATCTAACCACAATCAGAAAACGTTCCCTCACCTCGGGGTGCAAATGGCACTAACATTCTCGGCAGAGATGGCTGAAGAGACCTGCCCAGGAGTGTGACAGGTCTTGATCCCTTACTCTGAGTTTCTTTGTTTCCTTTTTGGTGAGGGGCCGCAACACCCACCCGACGCTGGCAGCCGCCAAGCGTGCCTTCTATGACACACTGACAAGACGTGTTCATGATGAAGAGTTTTGCATCGCCAGGAACCTGTGTCCACCTGGCTATGGCCTCCAGCACGTGCTGACGACAAGCAAATTTGCCAGTCTGCATTTTTCCATAACTTGTAGGTTTTCCAGGTCGGCAGAGTTCCTAGATTGTGCTAATTTCTGAGGTATCAGAAGGTGGCTTGAGATACTTTAGATCATTGCCCTGTAAAGGGATAGGTAGATTTCCCATGAACCGGGTTCCAAGCAAGGAGAGCGGGAAGCTTGGGCGCCCGGGAACACAGCCAAGGAAACCCCCTTATCAAGCGCAAAACCCGAAGCAGGTTGCAAGCCGCAAGGTTGCCGCCCAGCAGTAGTGAGAACAGAAAAGCTGAAATTGATTTGGTTGCAGAATGCGGTGGCTCGAGAGCTCTTGGAGTGCTCTTGGACCATTGGAGTGGTCCAGAAGTGCTCTTAAGATGGTCGTGTAATTATCGAGATTACTACTGTCATTTTATGAGCGCGCGTATTTTGAGAGCGAGGACATGTTCAATACCCCCTTTTTGTGTTACGGCATTGATCACCTCAGCCGGTCTCATCACACGTATTACCGGCTCTGCTAGTACTGCCATTATCACTGCCAGTGCCATTGTCATTGGCAGTGCTCATAATGCGTACCTGTTACTACTCGTATCTTTTTTGCTATTACTTCAAGCGCGGATTTTATTCTTTAGCGCGATTCTTACCATTGTTATTATCATTGCTCTAGAAACATCAGTATTGTTATTGCTACTGCCATTGCACGTATTTTTGCTGAAGCATCGGATTCTTGCCGTTATTGTCACTGCTGTTCTTGCTACGGCTGTTCTTCCCGAGTCCACGCACTTTTTCTGAGCTTATTCCGCAGTCTGCTAAATTCGTAAGCCAAGCTCCGGAACTTTAGCTCATAGACGGCGTTGCTCGAAAAGCCAGATTGGTAAACTGTCCCTCAGTATTCTTACGCTCCATATTTTGGAAACAGGAACGAGCAGATCAAAGCCTGTTTCAGCCCCAAGCTGTCTCGTCAATGCTACATGAACAAAGGGGAGTTTCAATATATTCTCACCAAAGTCTTGGGAATTCCCTTGCATCTTGGTTCTTGCCACTTGCAGGGTGGAGGAGGGTTGGTTTCAACAAACGTCTCCAGAGTTTCCCTGCGCCAATGTTCCTTGCGAATTGCAATGCGAAGAGCGAGTGGCTTCAACGGATATCTCTACTTGATTTTTCCTGTGTCACTGTTTCTTGTGACTTGGACGGCGAAGGCACGTAGTTTTTGACAAATGTCCCTCCTCGAGTTTCCTAGTGTCGTTGCTTCTTCTGAATCGCAAGGGCTGTGTCCACGTAAGTTTCCCTCCGCCCATTTTTCTTGTCGATTGCAAGGCGGGAGCAGGTGGTTCAACAGATGTCTCTGCTTGTTTTTTCTGTGTCACTGTTTCTTGTGAATTGGAAGGCGCAGGGGTCTCTCTACTCAAGTGTGCTTGTGTCGTTGTTACTTGTGAGTTGCAAGGCGAAGGGCAGGTGGCTTTTCAGATGTCTCCGCTCGAGCTTCCCTGCGTCATTGTTTCTCGTGAATTGGAAAACGCACTGCCGGTGGTTTGAACGATGCATTGAACGATGCATTTACGCAAGCTTCCCTGCTTCGCTCTCTCTTGTGAATTGCGGGGGGTAGCAAATCTCTACTTGAGAGTTCCTGTGTCACTGTGCGGTGTGAGTCGCAAAGTGAAGAGACTGTTTCTTGTGAATTGCAAGGCCAAGGGGAGGAGCTCTCAGAAGTATCTCTGCTTCAGTTTCTTTGTGACATCTTGTCTTTTCAATTGCAAGGCAAGAGGAAGTTAAAATGAGTCTCTGGATTTCTGAGCGCGTGATTTCTGTAGACCGATGTCTGTAAATCCTGACCCACGAGGCCTGGACCCCTAGAGCGCCTCGAATGCATTTCAATGTTAGTCCGCAGCTTCTGAATCGCAAGTTTCGTAACAGCAGCTTCTGAATCATCCAGCCCAGTCCTGACTACCTAATCGCGCGATCAGAACATGATCCGAAAACTACAAAGAAGGCCAGAAACACCCAAAAAAAATACTCGCAGGTGAAAACCATTGAAAACCACAAACCCTCAAAAAAGTGGCTGCAAGTCACATGGGCCACAGGAGCGGTCCCCAAGCGCACATTCTGTTAAAATCCTCATTGTGCCCCACCTCACCCTGCCACATCAGGAGGATGCCATTTACGAGGATTGACTGGAAGTACATAAACGCATTCCTTTGGTGGAAGGAACAACAGGCAAAAAATGGCAAAAAAGGTTCTCTGCAGCTGCGGAGGTGCGACCGTGCTTCTGGAGGTTTGTCGTTATGCCGCCAGCGGTGCTGTCAGAGCCTTTCAAGAGCACCTGCAATGCACAACCCCAGCACATGCACAGCATAACAGGCCAAAACTTGCCAAAACGCAGAGGATGCACCACGCCTCGTTGTAGACACCAGCAAGTACAGAGCACAGCATCTGCACGAAGAGCAGCAACCACGAGCTCAAGTTTGCCTAACATTTCGTGGTAACGGAAGCTGTGGCCTGAGCCCTTGCGAAAGGCCTCCCCCTTTTAGCATCTGCTACACCCGGCTACTACATTCTTCGCAGATTATGCAGAAATTCTTTCGTCCCCATATGTGCCTGAAAGCCCAGGGTGGTGACCTTTCCTGACTCTTTGCACATGCAGCCGCCAGTGATGAGCAGAATCGCCCGCCACTGATTCCGGTTCAGCTGCTTGGAGAAAAGGATTTGGTAAAGCCTGGGTGTGCTATCTTCCTGATGTCCGGCAATGTCTTGATACACAACTGCTTTCAGCGAGTAATCTGATGCCTGCCTGCCAAGCATGGCAAACTGGAAGCTTAACAATTACATCGGCCCAATAGACACATACACCCCGCTTTTCCTCTGATCTGGGCTGCTGACACGCCCGTCAGCGCAATCTTGAGCTGAAGCAGGACATTGTATGTGCCAGGGTCGAAAGCGGCTAGGTTGATGTAGAGCAAATTGTTGTACAGCGCGTACAGCCTCCAAAGTCGAGCACATGCCCTCTCAGAATCTTCCAAGAAGTACGGAACTTTAGAGTGCATGGCTTCATTGCTTCATGCCTTCAAGCCGAGGAGCAAAGCCGGGATTGCATACTTCAACAATATTCGATGCTGCTTCAATGTCACACGCAACATGTCGGAAACAGAGCCATCGTACGCCTAGGAATTCCGGGTACTGCTACATGTTGCGCTCACTGAATCCGTATATGCCAATGCATGCCACTCTCATGCCAAGGTGGGTTGCTTTTAATCCAGTACGCAAAACACTGGGACAGGGACTAAAAACATGGCAGTGGCCAAGGCCAGCTTCACTGTCTCTGTCAGCAGAACCACAGATGTAGCATTGTAGGCCGGTGCGGAAGCTAGTCGGCTCGAATAGACCAGCAGGTGTGAGGATGTCCACAGGGCAACATAAGTTGAAAAAATACCTTGGTACTAGCAAGCAAGCAGCAACATGGCCGGTAATGTACTGGGGCGCACCCTAAAGTCTCTACATTCACTGCTTTTCTGCTGGGAACACAATGCAAGTCACCCTAAACCCTTATTCAGGCAGCTTCCAGTGGAGACTTGTGGGATTGAATGGCTTGCTTGCAGCTTTCCATCTTGCGGTCCTAGCTTGAACCGTGTCCGGGCAACTCTCACCCACTTCGAGGCCCGGAAAAAACAAGGAAACGACGTGCACAGTCACACAGCCCGGCCCGCGCATTTGCAGCGCGACAGCGATCAACATCAAGCCAATGGGAAAAAAAACGCGCAGTCAAGTGGCCTTGTTTCAGATAAGTATTCAGCCCAAGCATGGCGGCGAAGACTGAAGCAAACGACTAGCAATCAACAGAAGCTAGATTGCAAATTGGGTTCTGGCATGTTGCGCTGCTTCTCCTGCCAGCCTTCTCAGGGAATACCCCCACGAAGACATGAAGAATCTTGAGCTAGAATATCCACAGCATAAGGATGCTGCTCGTATCTTGGGCTTGCCGTAAAAAAACTAGCTCAACACTCTGGAGCCATGCTTCCGAAGATTGCCATTCTGAGTTCGCTTCAGGACCCTCGCTTATGTTGCATCCTCGAACTCAGGATCCAAAGCTCGAGCCGCCACTCACTACGCTGAGCAAAGCGCTTTGCCTTTAATGCGGTACTTCCTGGCTTCTGGGAAAAAATCCCAAGCTTCAGGACATTGGGAACAGATGAGCCCCAAACGACCTTCCAAGAAGCTCACTTCTACAGGGCAATGATCTGACGGTGTCCTTGATTTGTAGGCAATGATGAGTGGAATCCCGTCCGCTCCGATGATACTGAAAATGCACATGCTGTGGTTGGAAGATTAGACGTCAATCGAGAAGTCATCTTCTGAGTCTTTGCAGATGCGGCTTTCTTTCATTGCCTCCCTTGCGCAATGAGCAACTCCCAGAAGCCCACTTTACGGTGACACAGATATCTGAGGTCCCGAGCAATTGGAAAGGCCTCAAAGGCTAGTCCAAAGCCTGCCTCACTAATTACTAATAGGGTATATTATCCCCTATAATGAAGAATCAAATGGAAAAGAAAATGGAAAATGAAATGGAAACTCCTTTGGTCTGCCCGACTTTCGTTGAAGATGAGGGGTCAGCGGCCCTGAAGTTCAATCCCCCGAACCTGCTGCAGTAAGAGTAACACATTCACGCCCAAAGACTCTTCATCCAATAAGCTTTTGCCTTCCAACTCTGGTTCGAACAGTTATCACAAATTTGGCTGGTTCATTCATGAATCAAGGGACGTTTTTCTGTTGCAGTTGATCGTCTGATCACATGCCATGCACGTTGGCCCGTACCGCTCCTCTTCTTTCCCAGAAATACCTCTAACCGAGAATCAATGTCGTGGATGTATTGATTTTCAGCCGGGTAAGTAAATTTATCTATCTACTGAATCTAACGTCAGGTGCCAGGACGCATGTAGGATCATGCAGGCAGGCTGTTTGGACGCATTGTTTTGCATCTCTGGCAGTGGAGCCGCATGCCGACCTCGAACACGCAGCAGCCACACAGTCAGTAGATGGTAAGGATCCGGTAGGCCCCTTCAGCAGCGGTATGGGTGGTGTACTGGAGCGCCCCGACACCCTTCAGATGCAAACAAGGACTGCTTCCACTTGGCGATCTTTAGCTGATGTGTCTGGGCCTTTGGTTTCAGGTTCACAGTTCATCGCTGCCTCGCTGCCCCTGGGATAGTTGCAGGCTTCCCGGAATGATTAACAGCAGACCCCACCTTGCTTTTGATCCCTCTTACAATATTATAGCCCTGTTAATGTCACTGTCAGCTGCTCCTTGGCAAAACTGTACATCAGGCCTGTCATGGGTCACATGTGGGAATTTTCAATCTGCTTCAAAGGGAGACGTACCACAACGAACCCCTCCCCACCTCCTGTGCCTTCTCGCGGCCACCCTTGCAAGGCAAACTCGCGGCAAGGAACCCAACAGCTTCGCAGGACTCGGGTCATGCCTCTGAGCGCACGGTCCAAGACCGCCCCCATGGTTCGCAGCTTTCAGCTGGCTGAAGGAAAGCAGAAGCATCCTCGTGGGTGTGCCCTGCCAACAGAGGGATTTTTGTATTTTCACGGGACGCAAAACTAATTTGGTAACGTTTGCTTTGTTTTTGTCTTTTTGTTCCTCTTGTCTATAGAATGCCTCAGGCCAGAGCTCGATTTTATAATGAAAAAACGTGCAAATTCATTTTATTCGATGACAACATGAGAATTTGATGAAACATAATTGAAGTTCATGAAAAAGTCAGAAAAGTTATGGAAAAACATCGTGAGACATGAGAAAAACTGAAAATGATGATGAGAAATTCTGAAACATGATGAGACCGGATGAAATATGAGGAAATATTGCAAAATATGATGAAAAATGAGGAAACATCAGGAAGATTATTGAAGATTGATGAAAACTATTGAGACATTATGACAAATCGTGGAAACTGCTGCAAGATTCTGAAACAATCGTGATGCATATGAAGAAATTGTGAAAAGATATCAGAAAGCGTCCAAATTGAAGAGCACTGAAAAAAACATGGAAGATGATGACATGTTCTTAAATGACGAACAGACTCGCCGACACCCGTTCGGCTCTCATGGCGCTAATGACCTTGACGGCTTCGGCAGTCGCAGACCCCCCCCCCAATTTGCAAACAAAATGATCTGCATAACCATGCCTCACTACAAACATAGTGACGACATGACGCTTCTTTGTGACAATAAGCGCGGATGGCCTTCAAAAAAGCAAGGGTGTTGCCTCCCCCATGTGCAAACTAAATCATCTCTATAACCATCCCTCATTGCAAACAGGGTGATGACATGATGCTAGTCTAGTACGGCAAGCATGGATGGCCTTTCAAAGAGCGTGGGGTGGTTGGGGGGGCGAAGCACCCCCCACTTGCAAAAATGCAAACAACAAGGATGAAGACGATGAAAGATGATAGAAACTACAACAAGGTGATGTAGACTATGAAACCAATGCAATAAAGATCCATGGACCATGGACATTTTAAAAAAGATTGAGAATGCCTGTTAAAAAAGAAGTTTCTGAGCAGTCATGAAAGTTATTGAGAATGATGGAAAACATCGCAACTGCTGAAAACTGATGGATGGAAATATGAAACTTTGTGACACATGATGGAAAACGGCAAATGCTTATCAGAAAGGAAGATGCATGAAGAAACAAAAATCGCAGATAGCAGCGACTGGGACGCTAAGTGCAGTCAACGAGAAACAGGAAGCTAAAAGTAGAAAGCAATGAGCACTCAGCAGATCGTAGGCAGCAAGAAACAGTAAAAGCTGACAGCAGAAAGTAAGAAGCAAGAAAGAGAAAGCAACATCAGAAAACAAGAAGCAAGAAGCAACAGGCAGAAAGCTACAAGCAGAA